ATCGATAGCTGCATTCGTCACAAGTGGGAAACATTTAAATCTGCATGGCACTTTACTCCAATTGGCTCATTCGCTTGCATAAACTCAACGTTGATTCTGATTCCGCAGAACTGGGTTGGGTGTGAAAAAGTATTTGTTGTTAACATTCTTTTTTCATTCGGTTTTTTCCAGTTACGAGTCCTTTTTTAAAGCTGATCGTTTTGTGTTCATTTTGTTTAGTTCTTTTTTCGTAATAGATTTAATGTTTAGTATAGAGCGTAGAAAAAATTCGCAGTGTGAGATAGGCGAGAAGTAAGGCACGTAGCAAGATCAGCACGGCAAAGAGCACCCCTTTAAAGGCAAGTGATAGCGATTGCTGTATGAGTCGTACGATTTTTGAATCAAGCACGGGCAACGCCGGGCCATGCTGCTAGAGAATAAACGAAAACAAAATTGGCCATAGAAAACTATATATCTAATTTTGTTTTATGGTCAAGCAAATATGCAATTTTTTACTGTATTTTATAAGTAAAAACAGAATAAAATAATGTCAAAGATTGCAAAAAATGTTACTCAATGAATAATATTTATTAGGTCATAATTAAGAAAGACAAATAAAAATACATAAAAGTGTTTATAACACCATAATACTGTTGGGCACAAGTTATAAAACAACATATTTTAAATTTGCATTGTTTATTGAAAATTGCACTAAAACTATTGAAGTGTATATCTCATCACAATATAGCTAAATTCTTTAGTTTAATTTCCCTTTGAAGTAAATGAAGGTCTTATTTGATTGTAGAATAATTTAGTAATAATGTACTTGTGCCATACATCTTGTCAATATACAATTTGTAATGTTTCAGTAAATTATAAATTTTATAAGGTATTGAAAGCTTTCACTAATCCTCACGATTAAATTCTAACGCTACGATTTTGAACCTAAACTTAATCTTCAAACTCATTTCTTCAAAGGATGGTGACGATTTTTATAAAAAATATTTATCATGTCAAACCCCAAAATGCAAATTGGTTGCAATGCTATGCTTCCAAAACAGGCTTGCCCTAGTGCAACAATGCGTCTCTCTTATGGGCTGAAGTGAAGCCATTACTGTTTCTCCTGCTGTTTCAGCGGAATTCACGAGAACGAATTGTGTTTTTTATTTTTCTCATGACGATCTGATTTCTTAATTAAAACAAAATAGTTAAAGTGAAAATTAGAAGTGAAAGAAATAAGGCTGAATGACGTGGATTT